AGGGAAGTAAATATCAAAAAGCTGTGAAACATACTTATTTTAAGTGTGGATAAACTGTTCTGACAGGCTTTGTGTTCAAAAGAGATCACACTGTACATGTTGAATGCAAACACTGGCTTTTATTCCAGCTTTCTAACCAACGGCTTCCTTTATTAATGATTCAGTAGGTGCTAAAGATAGTCCATATTCTCATAGTATCAATAGACCCCGTGGTTCTCAGTCATTTCTGGGATTAACCAATCTTTGCTCTTCTCTCACGTAAATTAAACATTCATAAGTCTACAAGGGCACCCTTACCAAGATAAGAAAAGCACATATTTTTCTAAACTCCACAAATGTTTGTTTTAAAAACACTATTTAAAAATCTGACAAACATAAAAAATGTGCACATTGTACAACACCTGCCCTTAAATAATGCGAAGGTGTGTAACCAGTGCAAGCAATGAAGAATCGACCATAGGTTTGAAATGTATGATCTAGTCGGATTTACCAAGGCAAGGCAAGTTTGTATAGCACATTTGATCAATAAGGTATTTCAAAATAAGTGCACGCTTGTTGCATCCGGAGTTGACTTCTATTGCTTGCTTTCGTAGCCCAACATATGAGTGAAATGTATGAGATGTTGCTTCATGAAGACCAATAACTGAAACAACTCACCTGACTCATTAGCTTACTTAAGCTTAGTTCCTAGTTTTGAAAGCGTATAATGTTTTTGTTCTGTCACGATGCTTTTATTGGTCTAGTTTCCAGCAGCAAAAACCTGTGTTTTCAAAAATCTAATAATCTCCAACGACCTGACTGCCACCGAAGAGCAGACAGGATCTCACTTCTTCTGTTTTCAGCGGTAAATCCAGTGCTGTACTGGAGAAAGCTGATGTTCATTAAACGCTAAAAATGTAACTTTATTCTACTGGATATGTTGGGATACAGATGGTTAAATAAAATGACAGTATTCTCTTGGTTTTAAAACTGTTGCAGACATTTGGGGTAATTTACGTACATAATTCAACTGAATATATAACATAGACGTTTTCAGGACATTTTAATGTGAACATGTTTCATGTTATATTATAACATAGACGTTATGTGTGTATGTGTGTGTGTGTGTGTGTGTGTGTGTACATATTTAATACATAAATTAAATATGCAAACAAAATAACTATGTTTGGGATCCAGGGGTTGTGCATTATGCATTTTATATACCATGCCTGTGAAAATCCATCATATTATATACTGTATGTATATTGAGTTCTTTCTATAACAATAAGCTTAGATTTCCGGTGCCAATCTGGTGCTGATGTATCTTTCTAATCACATTTTTTGCTTTGTATAACAATATGTGGTTACAGCTCATCTGGCATGCCATTGCACATATTGAAGTGTGTGCCCTATATTCAGTAATGATTACTGTAAATGTGGATGCTTAGTGCCAACTAATGTTAGAAAATATGGCTCATTAACCACAAGTGAGAATGAGTCTTTATTTCCTGACGCTGCTAGACAGACACAAAGCAGACGAGTTTCCACCATGAAATGACATTTCTATGGGAAGCTGATGAATTCAATGAAGAAGCTCTGAGCAGGAAACCCCTGGGAATCAGAGCTGGTGCTGGGGGACTACAGATGAGATCATGGTGGGGGGTGGGTGGGATGAGCGGCTCCTCTGCTGTCGCCACAGGGCGGATACGTAAAGGAAATCTTCCGAATGGCTTTAGACATCCGGGCATCTCGGCACCCAGAGGGCTTTGCTCCATGGAAACCGTCTTCAAATGGGAAATGTCATTTTGATACATTCTCTATAACCTCTCCTTTGACTTTTGACTTTATTGGTTTTCTAGTATGTGTCCACTTTAATGATCTTCTGCCTACAGTGACACAGTGGTAACGGTGCCTTTGCTAGTGGGTCTGTTATAATGGTAAAATGGAAATATTCAAGTATCGAATTAGTTGATCTGTTTTTTGGTTAAGAGGATGATACGTCCCCTACTGAACCAGAAGGCAATGCAGGTTTTGGTCCAGGCTCACGTTGGCTACTGCAACTCCCTCCTGGCCGGTCTACCTGCATGTGCCATTGGACGTCTGCAGCTAATTCAGAAAGCATCAGCTCGACTGGTCTTCAACCTCCCTACATGTTGCCACACTACACCGCTCCTCTACTCTCTCCACTGGCTGACAAAAAGAAAACCAAAAGCATACCATCCTTAATTAAAAAAACTCAAACTCATGCAGGCCATGGCCTAAAATATTATTTCCAACCCCATCTGTGAGTTTTAAGTCTGTCTGTGTTGGAATAAATTTTTTCTAAATTGCTTGTTTACAATAAATATGTTCTTAATGCATCCCTTGTGCGATCCCTGATGCTCACTTTTTGCCAAAAAGAAGCGTTACCGAGTAAAGGCTCCCTGTTACTGTAACTTGGAGCTGCTCAGGTTATCATTTGGTCTGCCTCAGAGTTCGGCTCCAGCACGAACACAGCCCACATACACAGCCTGTAGTGGGACTAATGAATGAATAACAGAGAAAGGAGCAGCTGGTACTGTTTTGATAAAGAAAATACATTTCTCACTGAAATAACAAATTAACATTCATGGATTCTGTTTGTCCAGTTATGCTCTTTTTCCTAGAGAAGAATTTTCTGTCACGTTTACAGTAAATGCCCTAAAATATAAAGACGTCAGCACCGGCAGGTTCAGCACCATGGACAGCTACACACCTTTCCCCCCAAAGACTTTAAGAGATGTACGGAAATAAACCAAACAGAAGAACTGAGGTTACCTACTGTAACCCCAGCTTCTATGAGTGAATGGCGCAGCCCTCTAAGGCTATCGCTATTGGGTAATCCCCCTGCGCCCCCGCGCAGCACTGAAACACTTGTAGTCCACGCCCACCCGCAAGGTGGGCCCCACCCTCGGGCCTCCTTCCGGTATAAATAGGAAGGAGGCCCGGCAATCTGCTCCCATACAAAATAACTTTTCTTCAGCTATTCGTAGAGCCAGTGGGGCCCAGCACTTAGAGGGCTTCGCCAATACTCATAGAAGCTGTAGTTACAGTAGGTAACTTCAGTTCTATTTCGTATATGGCTTCGCCCTCTAAGGCTATCGCTATTGGGTTAAGGGCGAAGCATGATGTAGTCTGCGCCCCACTGCGTCCGCCCGGTACTAGAAGCACAGACACACCTGCTCAATAACACCCCATGCCTGTTGTGCCATGCGTAATGGCGCATCACCGTTCCTGGAACATAGCAAAACATGCCTATCTTCCCTGACGGGATGAAGGCTNTTTTTAAATGGCACTTCATATCAAAAAGGTTGCCGACCCGTGCTCTAAGGCTATCGCTATTGGGTTAAGGGCGAAGCATGATGTGGTTTGCGCCCCACTGCGTCCGCCCGGTACTAGAAGCACAGACACACCTGCTCAATAACAACCCATGCCTATTGCGCCATGCGTAATGGCGCATCATCGTCCCTGGAATATAGCATGGAGTATTCTCCATGATGGGACGAAGGCTGGGAATAATACGTACCTGCCGCTGTGAAAAAGTAGAGACGAAGGTCATACTTTGCCCAGTGACAAAAAGAGGGGGAACAGCAGCTCTCTCTGTGTAGACAGTCATTCTTCTTCCTCTGACCTGTGAGGAGGGGGGAATAAGCCAGCCAGGGTGATCACTCTTGACCTAAAAGAGTTGTGATGACCTTTGGCATGAAGCCGGGTTAGGGCGTAAAACAGCTGAACTGCCATCTCCTTGGATCCGGAGACATGACAAAGCCACAGGCAGAGCAGACAAATCACTCACCTTTTTCGCTGCTATTAGAGCCAAAGGTGTAAAAAAGGGTTTCCTGGCCTTTAGTTCCCAAAAAATGAGAAAAGGGGATTTGCGGCCCTTCTTTTTTGCCCCCTCGGACTTGGTAGGACTGAAAGTCACACTCTGTACTAACTGCTAGTGTGTTCTACGACCTTAAACCCGTGGGCGTCCTGACACCAAAAGAGACCGCTTGACGATAACGACGAGGAGGCCCTTCCTTCAGTGTAATGTTTGCAATGAGAGATAGCGTCAGAAACGTTTCGAGCCCAAAAGGTATTCTTAATAACTCTTCTCAGACAAGGGAGAAGGGAGAAGTCTATTAGGGTAAATTGCACCCTCACCTTAAATTTGTCGGAGTCGTCTCGCGCCCCGACGAGCGGCCGTGCCCCTCACCTCCTTGGACTGTGCAGAGCGAGACATCCGCCCAGTGTAGGCGTCCGGGAGTTGTAGGCCATATGTCGAACCGCAGTGTCGTACTGCCAGGTCGAACCAGTGCAACCTGGGGGGAACCCTGAGGTGTATCCTCCACCCTCAGAGGTTTCCAAACAAAGTAACAGCGCGAGGCGCGTAGCTGGACACGCAGTCTCCATTTACACGACCTCGACAAAGAGGGGTAAGCCCTTATAGGCGTTGAAAAGCGCGGGCAACGACATTGTCTTAGTCTGTAACCACACTAAACCGTGTCTGTTGTCCGGTTCCGTCGGATGGAGTAGCGGTCCCTCCTTTCTGCTAGACGCGTCGGATGACTTGGTCAGGTCCGCGGACGACAAGACCCGGCGTGTGTGTGTTACGAGAGGCGTTAGTCTCGTTCATTATAAGGGGCCCGACTTAAACTTGTCTCCTGAAGCGGTCTTTGCGCGTCGGCAAAATACGCTCCTCATACCTCTGAGGTCTCTGGCAACACAGTGCGTGTCACCGGCCCAGTCACCCTAACCGAAAACCAAATATCGCGTTGATTTCGTTTTCGGGGTAAACTTGGAAACCTAGTCCAAGGGGGAATTTTTGGAAATTC